ACTATTTTTTATGCAAAGTGGGTATCCTTAGCACAGTGGCTAAGTGGTTAGAACTTCCTCCTAGCAGCACTAGGGTTGTTGGTTCAAATCCCAACCACTGTGCTACCTGCTTGGAGTCTGCAAGTTCTTCCTATGCCTGAGTGGGTTCCTCCAGATACTCCGATTTTCTCCCACCCTAGAAAAACATGCTGGTAGGTTAATAGACTCTTGTCTAAATTGGCCCTAGCATGTGTATGTATGAATGTGATTATGAACCTTACATTGTAAGCTCCTTGAGGGCAGGGACTGATGTGAATGTACAATGTACATTCCACTGCGTAAGTTGATGGTGCTATATAGGTACCTGTAATTAATTAATTGATGCTTTTTTGCTGTTGTATACTTCAGATACTAATGAACATTTGGTGGATTGCAGTATAGGATATCAAGCAATTAGTAGTAAAGGAACTTTAGTTTAGTTGCATATGTGTAGCATTGTGATAGTTCTAGAGAGTTGAGAATTTTACATTTATGTAGCGCTACCCTTGTGAGGTCAGCTGCATTGTGGGTACCCCTAAGCTTCTCTCTGCACAGCCAGGCAACAGGTATTTCTCACACGGACTTGCATCCAAAAGACAGTAACCAGTCCACGAATTTGGTTTTGTTGTTTTATTAGTGAAATCAACTTGCATAGGGAAATAGGAATTATGGGATGCCCAGTTGGCTTGAATCAATGAAAGGGGGACAACTTCCTTCCTATGTACAAAGGCAAATCCTGGACTGTTTCTTTCTTGAAAGCCACCAGTCATTGTGAATCAGTAGCAACAGCCCTTTATGGGTGAGGAACTAGCAGCCCCTCAAAATCATCTTAACTTCTCGTAACTACATGCAGGGATATCTTCTTTCTCCCTGTAGAGCTGCTCACAACTCCACAACCTGCAAACACTACCATCCCTCTTGGCTTCTTGGAAGATATCCTGGGACAAAGATAAAGGATTGAGTCCTTAAAAAGTTTGCTATGGGTGGCAGTCTTTCCCCTTGTAGTACCCAAAGAGTGTTACTGTATTCACTCTGTCCTCTTTGCTCCCTTCTGCTCCAAGTCTCAATCCCATTCACGCTGCACTGCTGAATGTATCCTCCTGAGCCAGCCTGAGCCCAGCTGGCCCCTAGACCTTGGGGACCCCTTCTAGACACCGACAGTCTCCTCAGAACTCCATCTTCCACCTGACTCCCGTCAGCCTGACTCTCCCATATTTAGGGGCCAGTCCACCACTCTAACAGGGCCTCCAAACCTGGTATTGACCAGACTCCCATAAACATGCAGATTAGGTCTCCACCACTTCCTGCAGATTAGGTCTCCACCCCTTCCTGCTTAAAGACTTCTGGAAGGTTCTATGGTCCTCCAGAGTCAGGAGAAGTTGATGGGGCCATAACTTGTTAAGTCATCCAGCTGACCTGCAATAACCCGACCTCAATCGCAGACTCACAGTTACCATGAGTCCTACACTATGATTTTACCTGCAATACAGTACACTATTTTAATAGCACACTAGAGGGTGTTACATTTATATTGCAAGATGTGTGGCCAAAACTGATATTTAGTTAAGGTGCATGCCCATACACAGAATGACCCATTCTAGGAAAGATGCTTATAACCAGCGTGGTTTCTGTAACCATGAAACCATCCTGATATCACACAACGAGAATGAAAAATCTGGTCCATGTTATTGTATTTGTCCGCATGTCACAATTCAATTATGGCATAGCAGCTTGCATAATTCCTTTGTACAACTCTAAAATTAGGCTCTTGTGCAAAACCTTTGAATTACAAATTCGACATTAAAGCTGACCATGCACTGTTAGGTTTTTTTTTTCATTTAGCCAACAGGACAGCTCAAAAAAAAAAAAAAAAAGTATCCTCAGGACTGCTCTTAGAAATCATGGTGCCCCCATACAGCTTACCCCCCCCCACCCCCCCAAAAAAAGAAATCTAATTATACTTTTGCTAAAAATCTACTGGAATTATTATTAGTAGACGCAAAAACAACACAATTCCTGCTAAATCTAAAAGGTAATATGGTCTTGGAGCTCATTCACATGGGTACTGTGATCTCTACAGTGTGAATCAGTGGTTTGTTTATATGGCTGGAGCCGCCTGGAGATGTGTTCAGGCAGCCTATGTTACGATATGGGGATGTAGCAGCTGTACCAACACAGGCATAGGTCCTAATTTGACAGGCGCGTGGGTGCAGGTGCGCAGCCACAAACACAGACAGTGTGCATTCAGGGCCACTCACCCACATCTGCACACCTGTCAAATTAGGACCTGCAGCCGTGTTTGTACAGCTGCTGCATCCCCTTAGACTAACAGGTGGCTCCAGGCACATGAACAATCCCATCATTCACACGGCCAGAGTAACTGTGTAAATTAGTTCTTAGTGCTCATTCACACATAAGGTTGGGGGAAGGTAAAACCCCATGGTTGAGCTGTGCTTTTACCACCCACCAACCACTAACCCCTTTAGCAACAGAGGCAGTGGATAGGGTTGTACACATGCCATGGCTGCAATGCTATGCTTCCCAGCCATGTCAGAAATTATACCCCCGTTGGACAAGACCGATTCAAGTTAATAGTGCTGCTCTGCCATTGCCCTACAACTGCGCTCAAAGCACGTGCTAGTGGGGGCTCTAAGCAGGCGGTGAGGAGGCCATATACCTCTTTACCATCTGTCAAATGCTCTCCTTTTTTAATTTTAACAGCCCTGTTGGGGGGCTTTGATGAAATATCATAATGTCTTACTCCTAATGTCTTACTTTTGAGACAGATAAAAGGAAATGAGGATATAAATTCCTCAATTCCATTGTTTGCAGCCTCAGCTGCACTGGACAGTGAATGAATGCGAAGTGCTCTGTGCTGAGTGGCTTATGGTTCATTGACAACCTAAGCATGGTAAACACAACTGGGGCGCACAGGGGGGACCTGGACAGCGGGGGGGGGGGGGGGGGGGGGCACAGGTACATGAATGGTTCATCCTGCAGCAAAGCCAGAGGAAGGGAGAAGAGGAGAAGTTGGCAGCATCGCAGGGAGCAACAAGACAGCTTGGCAGGTGTCCGGGCCCCCCTTTTGAACTGATGGGTCCCGGACCTAGCCCAGGTGTACTACCTTATCAGCAGCCCTGCGTATTATGATAGCTGTGCCCACCATAGTGAGAACACTGATCAGCAGCTGCAGCCAACTGACTGCAACTGCTGATCAAGAAAATTTTTCCAACATGTCCCTTTGACAAAAGTTGATCAAGTGAACTTCTTTTGAGCGGGGATTGCCACACACAATAATCAAAATTCATCCAGACTTTGCTAAACCTGTCAAGTTTCATTCAGTGTATGGCCAACCTAAGAATGGTCTCTCGAATCTGCCTAAAGATCAGTACATCTATATAGGAGCCCTAAGAACCAAGTCTAAACAAGTGTCAATGTTTAGCTACCTGTTCCTTCAAACTCACCCTGGAGCTACTTCTGGCTTTGTCTTTTTCCTTGTCTTTCCCACCTGCTTTTCTGTCAAGCTTAGGTATAACTGCTCCCTGGTCGGCATCCTGTGGCCAGGACAGGATCTAAGAGAGAAAAGATTGGTCTCATTGGTTCAGAAAAATATATATGTGAAAGGCACCAGTACATTGTACATTCATTTACATCATCACAGTTTACAATACTCCAGTGGTATATTTAGGTTTTGTGCTCTAGGGAACATAAAAAATCTGTCGACCTCCTCCACCCACACCCACCCACACCAAGCCCCCCACACCAAAAAAACCATTCCACAGCCCAGCCCCAAACTTCCCCCCGAGAGAAGGAGAGAGACACACCATTACAGCTCCCTTCCCGGAGGCTCATGGCCGCTCCCCTGGCTCCCCTCCCTCCACCTCTTACACAGCGCCATCCACTCCCGGTCACCGGCGTAACATCACCACGCAAGAACGAGCACGACATCACCACACAGGAACCGACACAGGACAACCAGCCTCCCTTCTTCTTGGGGGGCGGAGCCGCCCCCCCTAAAACATGCCGCCCAAGGCAACTGCTTTGTTTGCCTTGCGGTAAATACGATCCCCTACAATACTTCATTAAACAGTACCTACACGTTTAGAGCCCTATGTACCACTTCTACTTTGAAAGTATGACATTTTGACAACAGCATGTTGAATTATTTTTGCTTACATGACATGAAAAATACAATTACCTTTTCCTCTATAAGAGTGATTTTCATACCAGAGAGAAGAAACAACTTTAGGAGGACTAAATCTGTAATGGTATGTTCCTTTGTATACTCATAGTCTATGGTTTCACTCCAAGGTAATCTATCAGATTCATATAAACCTGTTGATGCACAGTATTATGAAAGATTAAAGATACAAAATGTAATTAACACTTTATACAGCTATATTAATCAAAAATTGTTATTTAAAATATGTACCCCCCCCCCCCCCCCCCCCCCCATATACCCCATGCTGCGATGTGGGAAGCTTTTAGCGTTTAGATAATATGTATTTTTTTCCCTTTATTTTAACTTGTTCTAAGTTGCAACTGGCAGATAAATATGCATAAACAGTATATATCAATTAGGCAAAATGCCAACACAGATTTTTTTTGCATTTTTAGGTACATGGAGAGCCATGTATTTTATAGTTTGTGGTCTTAAATCTTTCCATGCCATGCTTGCTATACATCACATATTTTCCACTTGAGTGAGTTAAAACTAAGTACCGTATTTTTCGCTCCATAAAACGCGCCTAGGTTTTAGAGGAGAAAAACAAGAAAAAAAATATTCTGAACCAATGGACTGCAGACATAGTAAGGAAATGACCAGAGACTGCGGACACAGTACAGGGGATGTCCAGAGACTGCGGACACAGTACAGGAGATGACCAGAGACTGCGGACACAGTACAGGAGATGACCAGGGACTGCGGACACAGTACAGGAGATGACCAAAAACTGCGGACACAGTACAGGAGATGACCAGAGACTGCGGACATAGTACAGGAGATGTCCAGAGACTGCGGACACAGTACAGGGGATGTCCAGAGACTGCGGACATGGTACAGGAGATGACCAAAGACTGCAGACACAGTACAGGAAATGACCAGAGACTGCGGACACAGTACAGGGGATGTCCAGAGACTGCGGACACAGTACAGGAGATGACCAAAGACTGCGGACACAGTACAGGAGATGACCAGAGACTGCGGACATAGTACAGGAGATGTCCAGAGACTGCGGACACAGTACAGGGGATGTCCAGAGACGGACATGGTACAGGAGATGACCAAAGACTGCAGACACAGTACAGGAGATGACCAGAGACTGCGGACACAGTACAGGAGATGACCAAGACTGCGGACACAGTACAGGAGATGACCAGAGACTGCGGACACAGTACAGGAGATGACCAGAGACTGCGGACACAGTACAGGAGATGACCAGAGACTGCAGACACGGTACAGGAGATGACCAGAGACTGCAGACACGGTACAGGAGATGACCAGAGACTGCAGACACGGTACAGGAGATGACCAGAGACTGCAGACACGGTACAGGAGATGACCAGAGACTGCGGACACGGTACAGGAGATGACCAGAGACTGTAGACATAGTACAGGAGATGACCAGAGACCGCGGACGTAGTACAGGAGATGACCAGAGACTGCGGACGTAGTACAGGGGATGACCAGAGCCTGCAGACACAGTACGGGAGATGACCAGAGACTGCGGACCTTTTTTGCTTTATGATGCTGTGTTCTGTAGTAATGTAGGGGCCATTGGAGGGAGCCACAGCATGCAACAGGGGCCCTAGAATCTGAACCTTCAAGAGCCGTCTGATTTCGTAGTCATACAGTGGTTTTTCAGGACTACATCAGGAATTAATTGTTTATTTGCAGTGGGCACAATTTTTAGGCTTTCCTTTTTTTGTTCTGGTGACAACACTGGATTTATTGTTGCTCCACTATGACACACAGACAAATGTAGACATGTAGCAGAAATACCTCCAGGAAAAGGTTGTTTCATCCATATATCTTTATTAACGGAGTTCTTCACTTATGTGTGGAATATACAGACTTGTGTTCCTCCATTGAAAATTGTGCCTTAAGCAGATGTGCTGCGATTATTTCCCTGGACTGTAGAGTTGCTGTACACAGTGGAAACTTGGCTGTGGTTTCGAGTGTTGAGTGATAAACTAATTGTTTCTAAGCTTCCACACTGCAGGTTCACTCTGATCTTTGGAAGGCCACTTGAGCACTCATCAGCGTCCGTTGTGAAGTCCTTATAGATTGGTTCACAGAATTTAAACTACACATAATACTTGTGGTATACTATTCTGTTATCTTGCGGAGTTTGCTTGATAAATAGGTTGAGGCTCATGTAACTACTGTATATGCAACTGCTCCTCTTCCTTTGAAAAAAAAAAAAAGTTTTGCCTTTAGTTACACTTTATGTTTTGGATAGCGTGGAGAGGGATTGGGACACTCGTCAGGTTTTTATTGCTGTTTGTGCCCACTTTGTCATGTTTACCAGTATCAACGAAAGTACTGTATTTTTCACTCCATAAGACGCACCTGACCATAAGACGCACCTAGGTTTTAGAGGAGGAAAGCACAAAAAAAAAATATTCTGAACCAATGGACTGCAGACACAGTACTGGAAATGACCAGACTGTGGATGTACTAAAGGAGATGACCAGAGACTGTGGACACAGTACAGGGGATGACCAGAGACTGTGGACACAGTACAGGGGATGACCAGAGACTGTGGACACAGTACAGGGGATGACCAGAGACTGCAGACAGTACAGGAGATGACCAGAGACTGCAGACAGTACAGTATGACAGGGCAGATGACCAGAGACTGCAGACAGTACAGGGATGACCAGAGACTGCAGACAGTACAGGAGATGACCAGAGACTGCAAACAGTACAGGGGATGACCAGAGACTGCAGACAGTATAGGGGATGACCAGAGACTGCAGACAGTACAGGGGATGACCAAGAGACTGCAGACAGTACAGGGGATGACCAGAGACTGCAGACAGTACAGGGGATGACCAAGAGACTGCAGACAGTACAGGAGATGACCAGAGACTGCAGACAGTACAGGGATGACCAGAGACTGCAGACAGTACAGGGGATGACCAGAGACTACAGACAGTACAGGGGATGACCAGAGACTGCAGACAGTACAGGGGATGACCAAGAGACTGCAGACAGTACAGGGGATGACCAAGAGACTGCAGACAGTACAGGGGATGACCAAGAGACTGCAGACAGTACAGGGGATGACCAGAGACTGCGGACCTTTAGGGAGGGAGGGGGAGCAGGTACCTGAATTTGACAGGTACCCGCTCCCACTTCCACGGACTTGTCCTCCCTTTACTGTGGGCACCCAGCTGTGACAGCCGGGTGCCCACTGCGCATGCGCGAGAAGCGCTGCAGTTTGTGAATGGCCCGGCGTCTTCTGGGACCTGTCATGTGTCACAAAAGCCGGTGCGGGAAGAGGCCGGCGTGGGAAGACTGCGCAGTGCTGGACCGAGGAACAGGTAAGGTCCTGCATCAGAGAACAGCTGAGCGGCCGGCCCGGTATTCTGACATGGTGGCGGCGGAAATACTGGACCGGCCGCTTTATATTCGCTCCATAAGACGCACTGACATTTCCCCCCTTTTTTTGGGGGGGGGGAAGTGCATCTTACGGAGCAAAAAGTACGGTATTCTACATCTGACATGGCATATTTACCCATGTGAAAGTGAGCTGTTGGTGAATTTAGTGGGGTTGCACCTTCTTCTGGGGTTATCAGCTGTTGATTCTGGTTTCTTTCAGGCTGTAATGATAAAATAATCCAACTTAAAGCAGAACTTTATCCATAACAACTTGATAAAAAAGAATGTTCTTTAGCAAGGAACATACATTCCACATTAATAATTAAGCTACCAAAATGAGTGTGTGCTGTAAATTGCATCCAGAATTGTTCCTGTTTCTTCTTGCTTGAGGCTGCCATTTTGCTGAAGCTAAGAGTCCTAAGCAGCAGTAAATCTTTAGGCCAGGGGTCTTCAAACTTTTTAAACAGGGGGCCATTTCACTGCCAGTAGACTGCTGGGGGGGCCGGATTATAGTTTTAAAACTTTAAATTGGTAGGTGGGGGTGTACTGTAGATCGGGATGTTATTGTAGGTCATTACTGGGGCATGTGTATTGTAGATCAGTAAGTGGGGGTGTACTGTAGGTGTACTGCTTGTACTGGGTGATATGGGGGAGGTGAAGGGAGGTAGATACCGGGGGAAGTGTGCTGTAGATCGAGGTGGGGGAAGTGTATTATGGATATGTATGTAGTTGGGTGAGGTGTAGGTAGGTACTGGGGGAGGTGTACTGTAGGTAGATACTAGGGGAGGTGTACTGTAGGGTTAAGACTAAACACCTAAGCTACAATACACCTCCCCCAACTACATATAGATATATAATACACCTCCCCCACTACCTAACCGTTTAGTGGGGGGAGGTGTATTATGAATCGGTACCTCCTTGGCATGCTCCCTCAGCGCCTTCTCCTGCTTGTACTGGGCGATGAACTGCTAGTTGTTTTCTCTCAGTTGCTCCAGCTGGTGTCTCTCTGTACAAGCTGCCTCCAGGCTCTGCAGCACAGCCACCACCAGCGGCATCAACTCCTTCATTGCCTCCCCCTCATAGCAGCCGATCAGCTGCTTCATCTCCTGGTAGATGGAGGCCGTCAGAGCGGAGACCCGCTCTACTCCTGGTACACCCAATCTGTCCTCCAGCTCCATCACAGACACTGACCAGGACCACCACTCTGGTGCCCATTGCCAACCCCCCCCCCCCTCGCTGCCACCATCAACACACCTGATCACTTGCCATCACCCTCTCCCACCCTTCTCCACCGCCGCTAACACCATATTAAAAGTATCCGGTCATCCCTGCACCCTCCAGCAGCGTGCAGCCTCCTCACCAGGTCCCTGTCCCTGCCACTTCTCCCAGGGGGTCTGTGCCGCTGGCGCCCAGGTCACGTGCCCACCCCTCCTCGTTTCAGCTAATGGGCGGGCTAGGTAAATTACTGTGGCGGCTGTATCTGGCCCGCAGGCCGTAGTTTGAGGACCCTTGTTTTAGGCTATCAGCAGATTGGCCTCTACATTTTCAGCACTGTGCCGAAAAATAGAGAGCAACTGAGCATGTGCAGAGCAGGGTGAGACAGTGTGTTACTACATTTTAAACAGTATAGGCATTTATTTTTAATGTTTTACATAGCTTTATCTGCAAAAGGGGCCAGCCTGAAGTGATCTAGAAGGGTTTTATTTTCTGACCGATGTTCCACTTTAAAGCAATTTTATAAGCCAGTGCAGATTCATCAACATCATAAGGTGTAATTGAAGGTAAAATTAACTGCACAACCCAATTGCTTAATGAGGGGAAAGGTTAGAGATTTATTGCTGCTCCTCTATGGGGAGATTTCTCCTCGCTTGTCATGGTGACCCTTATCACATTAGAGATGAAATGAGGAAACATTTTTCAAGCCGGGACAGCTATAAAAAAACAGACTATTTAAAACATGGAAATTGTTATAAATTTTAGGCGCACTGGTGCTATTTGGATTTGTTAAGACCTGAAATGTATCTGCTTGTAGTATTATCAAGGACTATCAATAACTTGCAAGAATTTCAAAGATTAAAAATGGAGACCATACAGATCTGTTGAACATAGCAGCCCATTATATTTTTTGTGGAAAAATTTAAAATTAATAGGTAACTACTGTGCACACACCTCTTCGACTTACAAACCCTCAACCTCTATAACCGTTCCTCCTCTGCAGCTAAGCCCCCACAATCTCTGATCTGAAGACTGAGGTTACAGTCAATGTGATGAAAACTTCAAATCTCATACCATAAAAAAGGTGCAGAAAAACAAGACACAACAAATAGTATGGCCCCCACGGAGCCATAATCTCAACATCATTGTGCCAGTCTGGGGATACATGTAGAGAAAGAAGGAAATAAGAGAGCCAGAAGTCTGCAGAACTGTGGAAAGATCTTCTTGATGTCTGGAAACACCTTCCATGTGAAGCTGCATACATGAGAATTGATACTATGTTAAAGGCAAAGGGTGGTCACACCAAATACTGATTTAAGTTGCGATTTTTTTTTCCCATTCACTGCACTGCATACACATTTATGAATATCCATTTGCTGATTTCCCCTTCCCGTTAATGACAATTGCATTTTTTATAAATACTGGATAATGCAGGACTGTATTACGCTGAATAAATATATAATGACTGGACTTCACAAGCCTATTGAGACTTAAGCCAGCCATGGATAGTGTGAATCTCAGCCTATTCAGCAGGAACCAGGCAAGATTCAAACCATGCATGGACAGGCTGAATTGAATTGATTGTACAACCAACCTGATTATTAATAGCGGCTGTCATAGCAGCTATCAATAATCACTGTCTTCTCTGATGGGAACAACTCCCCCACCCCGGGAGAACACAATGGCTCGGTGGGAGGGATTCCCCTTTCAACATTGTCTGTGTTGATGGAGACATTTGCATCATCTATGGCCTGCCAATCAGTGATTTCCAAATCTAAAGCAGGCCATAGATGAGATTCAAACCATATACAGGTGAAACTCAAAAAATTAGAATATCGTGCAAAAGTTCATTTATTTCAGTAATGCACCTGAAAAGGTGAAACTAATATATGAGAGAGACTCATTACATGCAAAGCAAGATAGTTCAAGCCGTTGATTTGTCATAATTGTGATGATTATGGCTTACAGCTCATGAAAACCCAAATCCACAATCTCAGAAAATTAGAATATTACATGCAATTAATAAAACAAGGATTGTACATAGAACAATATCGGACCTCTGAAAAGTATAAGCATGCATATGTACTCAGTACTTGGTTTGGGCCCCTTTTGCAGCAATTACTGCCTCTTTGAGGCGTGGCATTGAAGCTATCAGCCTGTGGCACTGCTGAGGTGTTATGGAAGACCAGATGCTTCAAGAGCGGCCTTCAGCTCTTCTGCATTGTTCGGTCTTATGTCTCTTATCATTCTCTTGGCAATGCCCCATAGATTCTCTATGGGGTTCAGGTCAGGCGTGTTTGCTGGCCAATCAAGCACAGTAATCCCATGGTCATTGAACCAGGTTTTGGTGCTTTTGGCAGTGTGGGCAGGTGCCAAGTCCTGCTGGAAAATGAAGTCAGCATCCCCATAAAGCTCGTCTGCGGGAGGAAGCATGAAGTGCTCCAAAATCTCCTGGTAGACGGCTGCGTTGACCCTGAACTTAATGAAGCACAGTGGACCAACACCAGCAGATGACATGGCTCCCCAAATCAACACAGACTGTGGAAACTTCACACTGGACTTCAAGCATCTTGCAGTGTGTGCTTCTCCTTTCTTCCTCCATACTCTGGGTCCTTGGTTTCCAAATAAGATGCAAAAGTTGCTGTCATCAGAAAAGAGGACTTTGGACCACTGAGCAACAGACCAGGTCTGTTTTTATTTAGCCCAAGTAAGACGCTTCTGACGTTGTTTGTTGTTCAGAGCGTCTTGACAAGAGGAATACGACATTTGAAGCCCATGTCCAGGATCCGTCTGTGTGTGGTTGCTTTTGATGCACTGACTCCAGCCTCAGTCCACTCCTTGTGAAAGTCCCCAACACTTTTGAATGGCCTTTTCCTGACAATCCTCTCCAGGCTGCGGTCATCCCTGCTGCTTGGGCACCTTTTTCTTCCACACTTTTCCCTTCCACATAACTTTCTATTAATGTGCTTTGATACAGCACTTTTGGGGAACATCCAACTTCTTTTGCAATTACCGTTTGAGGCTTTCCCTCCTTATGGAGGGTGTCATTGATGGTTTTCTGCACAACTGTCAGGTCAGCAGTCTTTCCCATGATTGTGATTCCTACTGAACCAGACTGAGAGACCATTTAAAGGCTCAGAACCCTTTGCAGGTGTTATGGTTTAATTAGCTGATTAGAGTGGGACACTTTGAGCCGAGAATATTGCACTTTTTCACAATATTCTCATTTTCTGAGGTTGTGGATTTAGGGTTTTCATAAACTGTAAGCCATAATCATCAAAATTATGACAAATCACGGCTTGAACTATCTTGCTTTGCATGTAATGAGTCTATCTCATATATTAGTTTCACCTTTCAAGTTGCATTACTGAAATAAATTAACTTTTGCACGATATTCTAATTTTTTGAGTTTCACCTGTACAGTGCTTTGAAAGAGTATTCATATCCCTTGAAATTTTCCCCATTTTGTCATGTTGCAACCAAAAGCGTAAATGTATTTTATTGGGATTTATTGGGATTTTATTTGTAAAACATTTTGAAAACCATTTATCATTTTCCTTCCACTTCACAAATATGTCACACTTTGTGTTGGTTTATCACATAAAATGCCAATAAAATGCATTTACATTTTTTGGTTATAACATGATAAAATGTAGAAAATTTCAAGGGAGTATGAATACTTTTTCAAAGCACTGTATGGCTGGCTTAACTGAATCAGACCAACTGTAAACTCCCAGATCAAAAGGGGAACAATAACAGCCTTTGATCACAATTAGATAAACTTCATTGCAAGCTCCACAGAGAAATGACATACTGTCTCTGTCACTAAATACACAGATTAAATTAATATTTCCCAATTCCCCTACCGTATTATTTTTTAAAAAAATATCCACTTTCAGCAAATATTTACTCAGGTTTTACCGCAAAATACTCCATGTCTGTTATTTCATTGACCATGCTGGTCACAATAGGAGAACAATGAACCATAGCAACAGAGGTCTGGGAGAACTTTTATGAAAGGAAAAGGTCTCTTCAGGCTGAAGGAAGTCCGACAGTTTTTTGATGGATTACTAGCAATTCTCTGTGTGGTGTGTGGTATGTGGCGTGGCGTGGCATGGCCCCCCCCCCCCCCCCCCCCCCCCCCCCTGCCAGTTTTTTATTACACCTACAGACAACAGCTACAAATAATTGTATTTCAAAAATCAACTACATAAAACACACAGTCAGTCCATACCCAAGAATAAAACATTTGGTAAGAAAAAAAGAGACCAAAGGCAAGTAAGGGAAGATGAAACAGCAGAGACAAGACAGGCACTCACCAGTTTATGAAGTGGCCAAGCCTTTTAAATATTAGAATAAAGACTGGATTATCACAGATATTACAGTTAGATACATGCAATTCCCTGGACCCATGCCATTAACCACAAAATCAGAGTAGCAAGAAAAAACAAAACGTTAACATCAGAACCAATTTTCCTTTTTGGAAAGGTGCAGAATGCCCACTTTTAAAGTCTTGAAAATGATTTGTTAATAGTGCCTAGTCTGATATTGACTCATTTCATAACCAAAATCAAGTCTACATTTTACCCATGGCAACAAAATGTGAATACTTCCCTCTGGTAATAAGAGGAGCTAATAATAGGGCAAGAATGTTGGCTGGATAACACTGAAAGGTTTGGTCTGTAGCATTAGCAACAGTAGTATTGTAATCATTGGTAATCCAAGACTGGGTCATTTTATTGAAAGTGAGCCAGTCCACACTGTCAGGTGATAGGTGGGTTCCCCTGTCTGTAACAAGGCTTGAAGAGCAAGCCAGACGTTCCAGTGCATACTGTACAAGTTCTGGCCAGTGGTCCAGCCTGGACACCCAAAAGTCCATGAGGTACTGTGAGTTCAGAGAATATCCGGGTCAACCCTGATCTCCATGTAGTAAGCAAGCATGCGGATCACGAGAGTGCGGTGTGCAGCCGGGCCTGGCTGCTGTGGTTTAAAAAAACTCTTGAAAGCAGCACTGAGGCAGCCACCACCCTCATTACTTGTTCATTCTGGGATCAGAGGATCAGAAACGTGTTGTTGATCATGTGACATGCGCAGTTAACGTTTTATATGGAACATGGCAAAGAGCAGCCAGCAGTTTAATGCTGTTGTTATACACCACCTTTCCTGGATGAAAATGGTATGGGATCAATCACCTTTTGACCTAGGCCTGGGGAACTGCCAGAAACATTTAGCCTGGGATGTCACATATGCTCTGGAGCACTTGGGGGAATTCTGCTTCTGCACTGTTACCACCAGAGAAGATACCGGGCTGCACCATCAGCTCCAAGCCTGGGCCCATCCTGGATTTTTCCTAGCTGCCAGAAAATTGACCTAATGTGCTATGAAGGATATGTGGCATCCCTGCGCCTGTTACTGGACCATGTGTCTGTGATCATGTGTACGCTGCCACTAACAGAGTGGTCCATCACAGACACATTACATTCCATTGCTGGTGGAGTGAAGGGAGGGTCTTCTGGGCAAAATAATGGCAGCTGGGTACCTGCTACCAGGTTGTAAGACAAGCCATAAATTTTTGAAAGGGGACTGAAACATGAACTGGAATGGGGGCTGCAAAGCCAGCGGTTTAGCCAAGGTTGGCATTAAACCTCTGGACATGGGGGTGATTTGGAGACACTTTTTCACCTGTTTCAGCAGCTGTGGAAGAGACACCTGCCTTGGGAAGGATGCTGCTGGAGACTGTAGGGTGGGTTTTTGAAATATTCTAAAGATGTTTAAGCTTCATCAGTGTGGTGCCATGACCCCCTTGCTTAATGGGGCATACCCCCCCCCCCCCCCCATCTGAAACCTCTTATGAGACTTCCCTCTCTTTCACTAGAAGTCACAGATGTGTTGCAGCAGATGCAGTAGGAGAATATTGTGGGGAAGGAGGGAATGCAGAAATTGAGGAATGAGGAGTAGCTGGAGGAGTGTGGACCTTTTGCTGCTGACTTGTCTTTTTGAGAGGCTGCACACCCCAACAGTGTCCTCGGGCAGAAGATTAATTTAAAAAGGCATAGCTCTGTGGGCCAGCCCTGGGAGAGCAGTTCCCTGAGGAGCAGCACTGCTGAATGGATTAGGACAGCTGCTGCCTCTAGTCCACTACAAGCTGCCAAGTGCTGTAATGCCTCTTTCTCAGATCTTTCCTCCCCTGCAATTGGGGGCACCCATTAATTGTCTGCCACCTCATCATCCACCCCATTACCATTGCTGGAGCTCACTTGACAGTATTCTTCAGTTTCATGAACATCACTGCCTCTTGCTGCTCCTTGCCTTATGTCACCATCCCCAGTATCTGACATAAGGAATGCTTGCACATTACCAAGATCATCTTTCTACAGCAAGCCAGCAATGATGTGATGAAATAATTGTGTTTAAGGTTGTAGGGCTATGACTAAATTAGCAGAAGAGGAGGACGAAAAAGAGGGTAGATTAGTAGCAGTTGTAGATATATGGCTGCTCTGCACCTGGGATGAGGAAAAAGAAGAAGGCTTTGTCAGCCACACATCTACCTCTTGGGCATGTTGTAAATCTACTGTATAGCATGGCCACTCTGAGATTGAAAAGGCAGTCCTGTTCCTAGATGGTATGGCATGACCACCACTCTGTCTCGCAGAACCTGCTTGCTTGCTACTACCTGCATGTGCAGAACCTCTAGCTCTCAATCGACATTTTAAATAAAGGGGATTGCCTAAATTTAATGGCAGCCATGACAATAGAGGGAATAAATATGTGGTGCTTAGGTGCACTGGACAAGTCTGAAGTGATGTGCTATAGCCCGACTTCTGTCAGCAACACGTGTATGCTGCAGACCTTAAAAATAATTATTTATAATTATCGTATTTTTCGCTCCATAAGATGCACCTGACCATAAGACGCACCTAGGTTTTAGAGGAGAAAAATAAGAAAAAATATATTCTGAACCAATGGACTGCAGACACAGTACAGGGGATGACCAGAGACTGCGGACATAGTACAGGAGATGACCAAAGACTGCGGACACAGTACAGGAGATGACCAGAGACTGCGGACACAGTACAGGAGATGACCAGAGACTGCGGACTTAGTACAGGAGATGACCAGAGACTGCGGACATAGTACACGAGATGACCAGAGACTGCGGACACAGTACAGGTGATGACCAGAGACTGCGGACATAGTACAGGGGATGACCAGAGACTGTGGACACAGTACAGGAGATGACCAGAGACTGCGGACAGAGTACAGGAGAGGACCAGAGACTGCGGACACAGTACAGGATATGACCAGAGACTGCGGACACAGTACAAGGGATGACCAGAGACTGCGGACACAGTACAGGGGATGACCAGAGACTGCGGACACAGTACAGGGGATGACCAGAGACTGCGGACAGTACAGGGGATGACCAGAGACTGCGGACACAGTACAGGGGATGACCAGAGACTGCGGACACAGTACAGGGGATGACCAGAGACTGCGGACACAGTACAGGGGATGACCAGAGACTGCGGACACAGTACAGGGGATGACCAGAGACTGCGGACAGTACAGGGGATGACCAGAGACTGCGGACACAGTACAGGGGATGACCAGAGACTGCGGACACAGTACAGGGGATGACCAGAGACTGCGGACACAGTACAGGGGATGACCAGAGACTGCGGACACAGTACAGGGGATGACCAGAGACTGCGGACATAGGACAGGGGACCAGAGACTGCAGACATAGTACAGGGGATGACCAGAGACTGCGAACACAGTACAGGGAATGACCAGAGACTGCGGACACAGTACAGGGAATGACCAGAGACTGCGGACACAGTACAGGGAATGACCAGAGACTGCGGACACAGTACAGGAGATGACCAGAGACTGTGGACACAGTACAGGAGATGACCAGAGACTGCGGACACAGTACAGGGAATGACCAGAGACTGCGGACACAGTACAGGGAATGACCAGAGACTGCGGACATAGTACAGAAGACCAGAGACTGCAGACAGTAAAGGAGATTACCAGAGACTGCGGACCTTTGGGGAGGGAGGGGGAATGGGTACCTGAATTTGACAGGTACCCGTTCCCACTTCCGCAGAGTTGTCCTTCCTTCTTTTCCCGCGGTGGCTTCTGTGACAGCCGGGTGCCCACAGCGCATGCGCGAGAAGCGCTGCGCTTTGTGAATGGCCCGGAGCCTTCTGGGATCTGCCATGTGTCCCAGAAGACACCGGACCATTCACAAAGCGCGGCGCTTCTCGCGCATGCGCAGTGGGCACCCGGCTGTCACAGAAGCCGCCGCTGGAAGACTGCAGCGCTGGAGCGAGGAACAGGTAAGGTCCTGCAGGGGAGAAAAACTGAGCGGCCGGCCCGATATTCTGACATGGTGGCGGCAGAAATACCAGACCGGCCGCTTTACATTCGCTCCATAAGACGCACTTTGGGGGAAAAAGTGCGTCTTATGGAGCGAAAAATACGGTATTTTTAATCATTATTATTTATAATATATTTTTTTTTAACTCCCCCTCCCCCCCCCCCCCAAAAAAAACATGAAACAATAAACCAAACCCATTTTTTAAACCATGAGAAAATAAAAAAAATATATATATAGATATGTGTGAGATGAAAAAAAATCAATATAACAACAGACTAAACGGCTGCAGAGATTTCACTGTGAGTGCTATCTAGTGACCATATGTGGAATGTTCTGCTTTAAATCAATGAAAAACATTTGTTCAGCACAGGAAATAGCCTAATAACATTCATTTTTTGGCCCAATCATACAGAAGGATTGCACATGCATTTTTACTGGGTGAATTGCTATGCAGATTTTTTATTTAACCTACTTGAGACTCTGGTAGCTCCCCTCTGTCCTGGTCCTCAATGAACTCATAGCAAACACGGTAATTAAATGTAATGATGGGATATTCATTTGCATTCTGCAGTTCTGTGGCAATACTTGGATTTGAAATTCCCTGCACTTTTCCAATGTGCACAAACAACTTTGCTTTATTGGTCAGAGACTCTGCAAGGAGAATGTTGATATGTTATTTAAACCATCAGTGGTTGTGTTGCTGTATATAATGCATACAATCCATCATTCCTTTTTTAGTAATACTATTTATTTCATGGATTGATTTGTTTGGTTTTCCAGGAATAATATGATACATAAAACTGCAGGGGTACCCATGTGAGCACTATCTAGTGTCCAAAGGTGGTATTTTCTAAAATATTTTAAATCAATGAACATTCGTCTAGCACAGTAAATAATTTAATAACATTCATTTTTGGCCAATTCGTACAGAAGGAATGTAAATAAAATAAAAAAAAGAAAGATAATAAAGTCAAGCTCAGTACTGCTAAGGATAGGAAATTTTCCAAGTAAAGAAACCCATGACAACCAATCAGATAGCATCGTAAACTGATCTCTTTACAGTACATTTTGATAGGTTGAGTTTGATTAAAACACATGTACATTAGAATTATTCTTTGCCTTGCTTTGTTAAATATACTGTACATGTGTAGTGTGAAGTACCTTACCATTTTTACGTTTATCTAACGTTTACTGCTCACTTAGCTGGCTCTGCTTCAGTCAGCAACAAATGCGGGACTAAGTACATCCGTCATGAACGACTATGGAGGCTGTTATTGCTGTCCTCATTCTGAAAATGCTAGTTTCCTGGCTGTATCTGACTTCAATATTTGGATTCACAGATCAGGAACAAAAATGCCATAAATGCGTGTCAAAAAATTATCAGAGATCCTTATCTCTGTATGATATATTCTTTCTTTGAATGTTTTATTGAGATATGTAATAAAAATATTTTCTATATTTAAATTTTGTCTTGTGATGTGCCAGTAAAGTCCAATAGTTGTTGTGGGGTTGCTTTCCCATATTCTTTTTTTAGTTTATCGCTATACGAATTACTGACCCAGAAAGTGTTGAAGCCAAAGAGTTAAAGGATAAGTTCACCTTTCATAACATGTTACATGTTACACCCATATTCAGGGTGTAACATGTAACAGGTTATGATCGGACTGCCCCCCGCACCCCGTTGTGACAGCTAGCAGGGGACCTTCTCCTCCCTGCTAGCTGTCACCATTTAAAAAATACAAGGCCATGCGGGGCTCCACCCACCCGGCCACGTCACTCATTCACAATATTCTGTGAATGAGAACACTACAAGTTCCAATCTACTGATCACTGTTGGAATTCTTTAGACTAAAAATATTAAATGCACATTTTTTGCCTGCAAAACAAAGTGTATTTATTATTTTTTGTTAAAAGGTGAACGTATCCTTTAAAATTGCAGTCAGGTTACTAGAAATGTAAAAATGGTAGGTCAGTAATAGTCTGTCTCCTTTCTGGTGGTCCATTTTTTGCTCCGGGGTTCCTGCTTTCAGAAAATATATAACGTTTAGGGGATTTAAAGCTGAAGTTTAGCTTTTTTTTGGGGGGGGGGGGAGATACAGCACCATATATATTAGCTATGTGTAATAGTGTTTATCCCATTACCTGGAAGTTGCTGCTTCTGTGAAAAATCTTCTCTGCAGTGCCTCCTGCTGTTAGATACTGTCCTGAGCAGCTGTCTTCCAGTGATGTGAGCATTTTACCATTTTCTGCATCCAAGGCTTTGCCCCCTTTGCTGCACAGCTGTCTAATTTTGACATGCGGCTGTATCCATGCAGCTGCTGCATCTGCATGCACTTTCAAAGGCAATGGGGGGATGCAGACACCAAAAACTAAATTCCTACTGTGTGCAGCAAGAGTGCCAGCACCCATTTGATGATACCTATAAATCATTTAGTGGTGCTCAGCTGGTGATGACTGCAAACATCCATAGTTACTATGACAGCCCTCATGAACGTGATGAATATTTTTTCACAAACAAGGAGAATTACTGGTATTCTATAAAAAATGCTGGGCATTAATGCTGATCTAGATGACATGTTGCTGCTCCTCTCTGGTTACATACATAGTTACATAGTTAGTCTGGCTGAAAAAAAGACAAAAGTCCATCCAGTTCAACCATAGAAAAAAAAAAAAAAAAGTAATAATCCTACACCCCCAGTTGATCCAGAGGAAGGCAAAAAACCCAGCAAAGCACGATCCACTTTGCTCCTGCAGGGAAAAAAATTCCTTCCTGATCCCCTGAGAGGCAATCGGATATTCCCTGGATCAACTTTACCTATAAATGTTAGTATCCAGTTATATTCTGTGTATCTAGGAAAGAATCTAGGCCTTTTTTAAAGAAATCCACTGAGCTGGCCAGAACCAACTCTTGAGGGAGTCTATTCCACATTTTCACAGCTCTCACTGTGAAGAAACCTTTCCGTATTTGGAGATTAAATTTCTTTTCCTCCAAACAAAAAGAGTGCCCCCTTGTCCTCTGTGATGACCTCAGGGTGAAAAACTCTACACCGAGTTCACTATATGAACCACTGATGTATTTATACATGTTGATCATATCCCCCCTTAATCTCCTCTTCTCAAGAGAATACATTCAGTTCCTCTAATCTTTCCTCATAGCTGAGCTCCTCTATGCCTCTTATCAGTTTAGTTGCCCTTCTCTGTACTTTCCCCAGTTCCCCAATGTTCTATTTGTGAATTGGTGCCCAAAACTGAAGTGCATATTCCAGATGAGGTCTTACTAATAATTTGTACCGGGGTAATATGATATCTCTCTCTCTCTCGAGTCTATACCTCTTTTAATACAAGAGAGGATTTTGCTCGCTTTAGAAACCGCAGCTTGGCATTGCATCCCATTATTAAGCTTGTGAACTACCAGAACTCCCAGATCCTTCTCCACGATTGATTCCCCCAGTTGTACCCCCCCAGTATGTATGATGCATGCATATTCTTAGCCCCCAAGTGCAAAACCTTACATTTATAAACATTAAACCTCATTTGCCACATAGTTGCCCAAATAAACAGTGCATTGAGGTCAGCTTCTAAAGGTCTGGTGGTTTACATTCATCTAGTGACTTCAGTAATGCAGGTGTTTTAGGGCCGGTTCACTCTAAATCTGAAGCATCCAAAATGTTACAAAAGGAAAATATAATATTATACAGCATTTCAGGAAATTGTTATTTGTATAAGATTTATGAGGGCTCAAGTCGGTCAAGTGTGAGAGCTGTTACAATAAAGTATGCTGTGCCAACATTATGGTGCTTGCTAAACAATAGTGGCCTTTGTTTATATCATTGTAATCCATCCTCACCTTTCTGCTTGAATAGTCCATCATACTTGTGCTTTTCATCAGGCAGTATTGAAATATCATCCAATACACACAGCTTTTTTAAACTGTCTATAGTATATCCTCGATAGGCAGGAATAAAGGTCAGAGGATTACCCTGCAATACCAGGATACGCAACCTATGCAAGGTACAGAGTCTGGAAATCAAGTCAAAAAGGTCTGTGAGGTCATTGAAACTGA